CAAATATTTATTAGTATTGTGGCTGAATAGCTTCTGCCCTTTTGGTTTTGTAACTCCAGGTGTTTGCATATTTTATTATAATGCTTTAGTTTGTCAAGATATCCTTGAAAATTTTCTGTTCAACTTTTTAAATTCATCCGTCTATTTAGCTACTCTACCTTCAAGAGCACGTTTTGGAGTCTTGTCTGAGAGCCATTTTGATCTTTTCCTCTGTCTTTTTAATGACCTTTTGTTTTCCTAACAGGACGTTTTTGGTGTCCTCCCACAACTTGTCTGGTTTTCAGGTCATTTGTATTTAATGCATTAAGTCAAATATTGAGATGGTGTCCAAATTCAGGTGGGATGTACACAAGGTTGTATTTTGGACTTAATTTTCTTTAGCTTCGACCTGAACTTGCGTATTGATTGTCTGTTCCACAATCAGCCCCTGACCTTGTTTTGGCTCATATTGAGCTGCTTCCTCATCTTTTCCCACAGATATAATCAATTTGATTCCTGTTATTTTCCATGGCAGGGCTCACAGGTAATAACCACCATTGTTTGGGGGAAAAATGTGTTTACAATGAAGAAGTCGTTGATCTTGGAAAAATTATGTCATGGGATCTCCAGCTTCATTTCTAGTATCAAGGTCATATTTTCCAACTACTGATCCTTCATTTCCAATTTTCACATTCCAATCACCAGGAGTAGTTAATGCATCTACAGTGTATCTCATCAATTTCAGAGTGAAGAAATTGGTAGATTTCTGTATCACTGGCTTTAGCAGTTGGGGGGTGGGGCGAGAATAAAGAGTTTACAAGGCTGGCTGATGGCAATTAAAACATTACCAAATTTATTTTTGAACAAGTAACTTGCTTTCATTGCCATGGGTCCGATACAAGCACAAGTCTAATTTGACCTATGCCTTTTCTCAAGGCATCATGCACCGGATGGCAGCTTCCCATAATGCAAGTGTGGTGTCTAAAAGGATTAACAAGCCTCTAGAGGCCAAGTTTGCAAGCGATATAAAATGGAACTGACTCTAAGAGTGGAAGCATAATTGTTAGAGAAATGAAGAAGAAATCACTCGGGAAGTCATGTAAATGGTGGGTCATATAAGGGAAACCAGGAGCTCTTCATGAAGGTTTTCCTTTAACATGATTACTATCCTCCTGAGGAATACGGGGTGGTCAAAACTCTTGAGATGAACTAGGCAAATGCAGTATCTTTCCAAATTCTTCCTTTAATGTCAGGTAGTGCTTCAACTCAAACACACAGTATATATTCCTCAGAGAAAGGGACCTGAGGGCGTGAGAGTCATGCAGTGGTGCGTGGTAGGTACAAACCTCGGCCCAGCCCAAAGGAGCAGTCAAGGCCTCGAAGGGTGGTGTGCTCTGTTCCCTCTCCATTCTTCTTTCCTACTGGGCTTAGACAAAGTCCGTGGAAGAGAAAGAGTTTTCAGTCAGTGGAGCTGATGAGACCCCTGGGCCTTGGAGGGTAGATTTGGTTGTACAGTATTACAAAATATGTGTAAGAAAAAAACAGCCCAGGCCTCCCAGCAGCAGCCAAGTGTCAACTGGTCCTGCAGCCTGACACCTCCATCTAGGTGTTTGACCCAGGGAAGGGGATAGGGTGACTGCCGGGCATTGGTATGGGTTTATGATGGAGCAGCATAAGATTTCCCGTGCCCTGTGGACATGTACATAAACATTTACAGCCTCCTCCCCTCAGCCCTGCTCTGCTATAAGGAAGCAGCTGAGAGCAAGTAACAGCTGGGCACAAAATGTCCATGAGACCAGTTATGGGGTCTAATATAATAAAGGCAGTCATTCATTTAGGACCTATTTTCACACAGGAGCAAGAATAAAACCACAAACTTCTATCTCACACTTAAAACGGAGACACTCCAGTCTACACAATTACCTGGACTAAATGTCTTAGCTCAAAACACAGGCCATAGCATCTAAGGTTTGAAGTGTGGGAAACATAACCCAGCTCCTTTCTTTAAGTCCACGCTCTTGCTGGATGGCAAGACAGAGTGCAGAAGATTTCTAACAGAGGCAGAAACAGCTGCAGCAAGGAAGGCAGCTACTGAAGGGCATCCAGGAGCAGGTGGAGCCTGCAGAGCGTCAGTGTCCTTTTCTTGTGATGTCTTCTTCCTTCAGGGCAAACTTCCTCCTCAGGGCCTCAGAGATGAGGACAGCGGGGTCTTCCTCTTTCAGTAAACTCCTGCTCCTGGAGACCCAAGAAGAGCTTGTGCTTATTAAGTATATAATCCTGGGTGGATTCACATACATTATCTCATTGAATGCTTAAAACAATCCCATGGGGTAGGTGCTGCTATCTCCTTTTACAGAGCAAACACTGCAACAGAAAGTTGGTGCAATTTGTCCTAAATCGCCAATTCTCGGTCAAATGGTGAATGTAGAATGCAAAACTAAGGTAGCTATTTCCAAATATTATCCTCTTAACTAGAAATGGTTTACTATCTCGTCAAATGACCATGAAGTTGGGGGAAAGTCAATGGCCAAGGAACGGCCTCGGTGGAAAGCCTGTGTGCCCACCTCCAGCCCTGCCTGTCTTTCCTTGGTAATATTTATCTAGAGGACAGAAAGTCAGGTGGTGGTTCTCTGCCATCCTGAGCCGTGTTTGTTCTGGGCATGCTGAGGAGGTCTGTCTACTCCCCTGCCTCTGCATTGCAGGAGCTGAGTCTAGAGCCAGTTCTCCACATCATCAAGACCAGTAGGAATACAGCCCACTCCAGACTAGGGTAGGTTATATTACCCAGATCTCCAGGTACCTGGAAAATAGCTCAGCAATTCTAGTGCACTTAGATCATTATGAAGATGGCTGGCAATTAAAATTACGTTTGTGGGTCAATATTGAACCCTGAAAGCAAAAAACAAGAGGAATTGTCTTTAATCTGTAATATTTCTCAATCTTTGTTGTGTCTGGGCTAGTTTTCCAATCATCCTCATCAACCCAGCTCCTCCTAACAAGCCAAAAAAGGGACAAATGGAGAGGCTTGGTAATGAGCCCTGGCATCTAATTTGGCTCAAGGGCAAGTAAGAACGTTTGAAAGTTGGTCTATAAAATATTGTGACCAGAAGAGACAGGCTCTGGGGAACCCAAAAGCAGCAGCAGCAGCAGCAGCACCCCAATGTTGGGAATGGGGAAGACACAAGAGGAAGGTAAAAGTGCTCCCTAAATGGAACTACTATGACAGAGTATAATAATATGGACACAACATTAAGAATGTAACCAATATCATCAGACATCTGTGTAGAAATTGTTGAGTGGAACCAGTTTTACTATATAGACTTTCATCAAAAATTTTAAAAGAAAAAAGATTTTCCTGAAGGAAGCAATGAGGGAGTCACTTAAATCTTGTGTGGTCTCCAGAAGGAAATGGGGCCCAGAAGACAGCTCCTTGCTCAAGGTGAGTAACCTTCCCTTCAACTCAGGAGAGAGGCCTTACTGCCATACCCCAGAACAGCTTCTTTTTTTTTTTTTTTTAAATTTTTTTTCAGAACAGCTTCTTAAGATCTGTGTTAACAAAGGTCACAGCCCACTGTGGACTTTGGCTTGGAAGGCTGAGATCTCAAACATGAAGGAACTTACTGTATATACTCAAGTATAAGCCGAGTTTTTGCAGCACATCTTTAATGCAGTTTTTGTGGTAAAATTAGGTGTCTCGGCTGATATTCAGGTTGCTTATACTCTAGTCTATATGGTATATTTAAACAAGCTCTCCAGTGAGTTCCACAGGGGAGCTCCAGGGCTTCTCTGCTAATGAGTACACATTCCAAACTCTTTCAAAGGACCAGAAACATCTAGAGCTCTATTCCCTGGGGAATCTGATGCAGGAAGTTTCTGAGGTATTCTTAAACCTGAGCAGTTCTGGTAGGCAGCCAGGTTTACAAACCACTTATGAATCTCAAAAGGCTTATTCTCATGAATTTGCAGGGTAGTAAGCCATTGTATTCTAAACCAGAAACCCCCAACTTTATGTCATTCTCCCTACAAGAAAAGCCCACCAACTTGAGACATTTGCAGACTAGAGCATGAGGGCACTGTCAATAGTATGAGAACTGAGGTGGAGAGGGGTCTGGGGGATGGAAGTGGATTAGCTAAACCTTTAGGAGACATCGTAAACTAACATTTGACTGGATGGCAGAATCCAACACAAGGAAAGTGTTGCTCTTCTACAAGTGGGACCCCAGGTACTAACCAGCAAGCAGGGGAGTTGGCAAGCTTTGTGAACAGATAACCACTCCTCCTGAGGCTTCACTACATAGGAGGCACTGTTTCCAGCACGTTCATATTCTACTGGACCACCCTGCCATGAATGCCTTAAACAATAAATGTACCCCGGACCCTCACTGAAGACTCACAGATCTTGGCTCTGTTTTATCCGGTGAAAGTCTTTCAAGATCCCCATCATGTCTGCAAAGCTGCTGGCCTTGGACAGAGAGATGCAGTCATCCTCTTCCGACAAGCTGCAGGTGGCTTTGTTTTCTGATTGACAACATTCAGGGCTGGCAGAACAAATCAGGGGGACTGATGGAAGCTCAGGGACCTCTACCTCAGTCTCCTCAGTGATGTCACTAATGACAAAGGAAGTTGTAGAGTGGAATGAGGATCCAAAACAAGGTAAGGGAGAGGAGACATTTGAACTTCCTGGAGATAAGAAATCTGGTGTTAATGAAGCCGAAGCTGAAAGAGAAAACAATAGGCGTGGATGGACACTGGTACCAGGACACAGCAGCAGCATCTTTCCCCCACAAGCACAGCCTACCGAACATTCATTTCCTGGGCTGCACATCACTACATCTTGAGATCCTAGGAAGGTATCTGGCACTAGTCAAGGATCTAGTCGCTCCACTACCCTTCCCATTAGGTCTCAGGCAGCTGTTGACACCACTGAGCTAATTCAGGGAGGAAAGAAAGGCTTGTCTCCCATGTAGGCCACAGGGTGCCAACACTGTGTTAGACCATAGTCAGAACCAAGGCCCGGATTTGTTCTTATCTTCATCAGAACACAGTTGCTGCTTTCAACTGTGCTGCTCTAAATCCCAATACCTGTGAGCTGGAGAATTGCTATGCAAAAAAAGGATAGTGATGGGCTTCCTAGTTTCTAAAATTTCAAAAGGACTATGTCTTCACATTTCAAGTTCCTTCTGATTTAAAAAAAAAAATGATTCATGCTTGTCTTTTGGATCACACACACACACACAAAGGCCAAGAAATAAAAGTGGGAAGTTCCAGTGCCATTCCTTAAGGATACTTCTGTATGGGGAAATTAAGTACAACAAGATCTCAAAGAATGCCACGATTTCTATGTGCTCCAGCAACTGAGGTTTAGGAGCAACTAGTCAATGAACATCAAAAAATTAGATGTACATAAACTCTTGAGCCACTTGGGTAAGGCCCACCGCCTGTGTCCCACGCCTTCTGGTCAGGACAGATTCCCATCCTCGTCCACTGGTTCTGCCTTAACTGCAGACAGAATGCTAGTCAGGAAAGGGAAAACGAGAACTTCAACGGTGCGTGTGTCTGGTAGGGAGAAGGAATGTGTATTTCTCATGATGAAAAGGAATGCTACTGAAGGTTCAAGAAAGACGTGATCTTAAAGACACTTAGAAAAGAATGCTGGCTGGTTTTGTGGGGCCACAAGGCCAGTAAAGATTTTGCTTCTAATTTAACAAACAATAATTGATTGTAAAAAGCCAAGGGACACCACAAACTAAGCAGACTTGGGGGCAACCAGAGCCCACCATTTTTCCTTATCCCTGCGCTGCCCAAAACCCAGTAGGAAAAGGGACAACCTGCTATATTCTTTCCTGGTTCAGGAGCTCCTACCTGCATCAGCGGCCACAATCTTGGCAATCTGACTGCGCAGGTGGCTGAGCTCATCCTGCAGCTCTGTGGTGCGGCTTAAGGCTGGCAGGCCTGGCTTCTTCAGGGCCAGGAGCCTCTCCTCAGACCCACGCAGGTTGGGCACTGAGGCGTTGCGCTGCATGACAATCAGAGGGCTGGGCTTCCAGGTGTGTCTCAAGGGACGTGTATCACTCCTGGGCCAGGTAAAGACAAGTTTTCAGTCAGAGAGCTCGGGCACTGAACCCCTTCTAAAATTCCTCCGTCCTCTCCTGTAAGAGTAATACAGCCAGGCTCTGCTCCCTCTGAGCCTGGGGCTACAGTACTGCAGAAGAGCAACAGCTCTTAAAAGTTCCTTAAAAGAACTCTGGAGCTCTCCATCCCCCAGCAGCCTGGCTACCGCCTTTACAGCTACCTGACCCGGGCATAGGTCTCCTCTTCATCTGCAGCAATCCACGCAATGTCAGCCAGGGTTGGCACTGAGGGCACGTCCCTCAGGCACAGGTCAGAGATGTTGGGTAGGGCCTATGGAGAAACAAAAAACAAACAAACAAACAAAAAAACATTTACTGATACCACGAGGAGACAAAAAGCAGGGATGCAAAGTACACAGGACGACAGGTCAGAGAGCTTTCTTGGAAGAGGAGCACAGCGCTCCTGGCTAGGACTGGCGTGGATAAACGGCCAGAGGCAAGAGAGTGCAAGGGCTCACAAACCCTTCAACGTGACTGGAATAGACAGAGGCTGAAGAAGAATTTAGGAACTTTGATTCTATGACCAATGATGCCCTTGGAGGCCTTGAAGTAAGAAAGTAAGGATCATATTTGAGGATTAGAAAGATTACTCTGGCTGCTATGTGGGACGTGTATAGGAGGGTGGAAGAGCCCAATTAACAGGCCGCTGTATCCAACCAAAACATAGTGGCCTAGAGCAGACATTGGTGTGTTTATTTACTTTTAATTGAAACCTAGGGATAAGTTCTCACAAGCACACCTACATTCAAGTTATATTCAGATGTTTCTGCTCCAAATTGTTCACTAAATAGATCAGGGATAAGTACCTCACACGTGGGATCTACAGATCCAAGAGGTGCTGCCGAGATAGACCTAGAAGATAGACTCAGATTGGTTCTGAGTACCCCATTATTCTTTGCAATTTAAAGTTGGTGCACATCAAGAACTTAGCACACAGTGCCAGCCACATAATGTGCTCAGCAAATGTCAGCTAGTGTGGCATCCTACTCACACATGCCCCTACCCTGTGGGAGCCTGTGCCCTGGATCTTCTCTGTGCAGGAGCATCTGGCCCAAAGACTGGAGAGGGCAGAGCCGAGTGAGAGGCACCCTCTGTGGAGTCGGTCACACTCCGGCCTACCCGCTCTCTCAGACCATCTGGATAACTGGCAATCCGGGTCGTGGGATACTCTCTTTCCAACACAGACTGACTTCCAACCCCATTCCTGACTCTAACACTAACCTGACATTCTAACTCCAGCTCCTGCACAACCTTCTGTATATAATCTTGGTCCCTTCATTGATTTCCACATGTCCTTCATGCATGTATTCTGGTCTCCTCTGTATAGGTGGGAACCAGAATTCTTTCTCTTGTGTTTCAGCTCCCTAAAAGCACACATTTTAAGCATCTAGTCTGGAGCTCCCCAAAAGGGAGGAGCCATGGGAGCTTGGGAGCTAGCTGTCCATTGTAAAACGGTTCACAGTGACCTGGACCCTGCCGGAATCACTGTTGCAGAGTGGGCACCAAAAGCCCCCCAGATAAAGTACTAAGTTGGAACCGGCAAAAGAGTGGCCAGGAAGAAGACTGAGAGACAGGCAAGAATGGCCTCAGGGAACTATGAAACACAGGTGGCTGAGTGGCTGCTCGGAACACCAGTGCTCCACTCGGAAACACACACACACATGCCTGTCCCATGCTGAGGCATGCCAGGGTAGCAAGTGAAAACCTCAGGACACAGACATCACGGGTCCCAAGATCTGACCCAGGGCCTCAGGGCCTGCTTGATAGACCCAACTGCTGGAGCCGAATGAAATGAGAATCGTTTCCCAGAAGCAACAGGTACACAATTATAACTTTATAGGCACACTGGTCATTGGACTGTTGTGGTCAGAGGTGTGCCTACCTAATCAAGGAAGGCACAGTGACCAGAACTCATGAGAAACACTTAATAATATTTACTGACAGAACAAAACCACAACCAGGAGTCTGTCTTGGCAATGCCAAGTGCCAGGGGTAAAAACATTGCTGTCCTCCCAAAGCCAGAGCCTCTGATCTTCCTACCTTCCTTCCAGGTTGGTACTCACCTCAAAGGAGGTCCGGGGACATGGCTTCAGGGGCAGGTTGGTTCCAATTCTTCGCACGACGCTGCGAGCAGCCCCATGAGGCTTGTTTTGCCAGATTGGGATGGTCTGGAGGAGAGACGGGCAGAAACAGTCACAGCCCTCTGCTCAGCAGGCAGAGTTCCTCCATCCTAGGGACAGGGCACTTCCAGCCCTGTTTTAAGGGCAAATCCCCCTGTTACCAACCTCACCTGGGCCAGCTGCCTAAGGGTGGTACCTTTCCTCAGTCCAAGGCTAAGCCAATGTTGAAAGAGGAGTAAAAAAAATAACTGGGGTGTGGGGTCATCTTTAAAGCCTCACCTACTCCTGCAGAGTTGTTTCTGCCCGCATAGAGAGCTGTGGTCTCCAAGACCCACAGTGGCAGGTCTGCCCTGTCCTACAGAGTGCTATGAGTCAGAATGGACTCAGTGTTATCGAGTATAGTACAGCACAGGATTGGGTCAGGGTAGTGGCTCTCCAGGCTTGCCACCCTTTCCTCTGTTCAGAAAAGCAGAGAGATTGGCTCCTGATCGCCATAAGCTCATGGCTGGCTCGGCCTGGGAGAAGGCTAGAGAGGTGGACTTCTTCTGGCTCCAGGCCTCCAGGGGCAAGGCAGAGGGAGCCTAGCGTCTCAGAGCTGGCACAGTACTTCAGTAGGCCCAGGGCTGAGCCTTTCCTCATGGATGCCCCTTACCACATTGGCTTCCATCTCCGACATTGTGACTGGCTTCTGTGCTGGAAGGACAAGGCAGCCACAGGGTGGTTCCGGGGGCTCTCCAAGGTGGGAGGCGTGGCTCCTTCATATCAGGCCATCTTCAGGAACATACTTTCCTTCCTGTGAGACAACCCCAGAGTGGGGTATTGGATGGTCAGCCTCCAGTCCCCTTAAGCCAAGTCCTGCAGAGGCATGACTAACAGCAAGGCAGCTGAGCTTTTCTGACATTTCACAGGGGAGAAAACCAGTTCAAGAGGTTGTCCTCCTCAAATTCACTGAAAAGTTTTGTCTCAGATTTGCTGGGCAAGGTTAGCCAACCCCGGAAGCCTTCTTGAAACCTTAGGTTTCCTGAGGCAAGACTTGATGGAAGTAGCATCCCTACAAAGCTCATGGGAAAGCCGAACTGTAGGTAGCATTGAAACCCAGCAATCACTATGAAAGCTGAAAAAGTTCGGCCTGTGCCACCATGCCCAGCACTGCTGGCTCCCACGCGGGGGTGCAGCAAGATAGAGAACAAGGAGAGAACCACCGCTCCTGCCAGTCAGCACTACGCTGATAAGAGTCCCCAATTCTTACCCTGGCCCAGCCACCTAGTGGCTTTGCAGGCAAGTCAGTTAACCTTCCCGAACACTGCCTCTTCTCTCTGTAATAAGCAGGGCTTCCAACAGTTGGGTCCCCTGTTAAGAACTTGCATTTCTAGCCAATATAAGGAATCAGAATCTGTATTTTGGCAAGATCTCCAAGAATCACCTGGTGATCTGTAAGGATTACCTGGGACTCTGGTTAAAATGTAGATTCTGAATATTGACAGGAAATAAATATTCTTAGCAAGGGATGGAACTGGAATGAACTTGTTCAAAGCCCTGGTAAAAGGGGGAAAGAATAGCTACCGTGCCAGGTAACTTTGAAGGTCAAACAATGAAGTAGAGGATTTTAAAGTGCTTGATGAACTGTTAGAGTATGATGCAGATGGGTAGGGTCAGTACTGACACCCTCTTCACAACTGCCCGTCATGGTGAACAGATGCCATCAATGAGCACATTCCCTGTTCTTCCCACAAGTGCTGCACACTGTAGAGCGGTGGTTCTCAGCCTGTGGGTCGAACGACCCTTTCACAGGGGTCACCCGATTCATAAAAGTAGCAAAATTACAGTTATGAAGTAGCAACAAAAATAATGTTACGGTTGGGGGTCACCACATCATGAGGAACTGTATTAAAGGGTGGCAGCATTAGCAAGGTTGAGAACCGCTGCTGTACAAAAACAACCATGCCCTCAAGAACTCACTCAAGCAGGGGGAAAGGACCGGAGTACATAGTTCTACCAGAGGCACAATGCTACTACCTCCTGGAAGTTTGAACCCACCCAGAGGCACCTTGGAAGAAAGGCCTAGTGATCTGCTTCTACAAGGTCACAGCCTCGACAGTTCCACAGAGCACAGTTCTACTCTGCAAACATGGGGTTGCCAGGAGTTGGAATCAACTCGATTGCGACTGTTTCCTTTTGGAGAGGCGTGCTAGGCAGGTGGTCAGGTGAGCTCAGCTGTGTAGAGCCCAAGGTCCCATGGTGAGAAGGGCAGAAGAGCAGCAGCAAGAAGAAAGGTCCAGGAAAGGTGAGGGACATGACGTGCCTACAAAGTCAGCAGCAGAAGAGGAAGGTCCAGCGACCAGAGGTAGCCTGGGACCTGGGCCGTGAGGCTGGGGAATGCTGAGTGAGAAGTCACTTGCGGCTGTGAAGAAGGGACTGCTTGGAAGCTCTTTTAGAGCTCTCCACCCTCAGGAGACAAGGTACCATGCACTTTGTGATGCAGATGGAAAGGAAAGTGGGGAGTGGAAGGGACGTGTCTCACGTCCCTCAGGAGCCATGCTCGTGGAAAGCACCTAAAGCCCAGTCTCGGTCTTACTGCAGAGGCTTCACCTTCTTGCCTCTGTTACTGACCCTCTGAGTGCCAGGCTCAGTGCTCAATGCCAGAACCTCTGGGCACCTCCTGTCTCAGTGCTTCTCTCTGCTGCTCCTCACACATCACTCAGTACAACTACTTCCTCCCTGATCTTACTGCCAAAGGCTCAGCTGGGCCCAACATACCTCACAGCTGGGGGAGCTTGCCTCCCTGCCTGGCCTTCTGTCATCTGAAGCTACCTACTTGCCCCAGCCACACATCCTGCTTGGCCTCTGCCCTCCAGCCACACGGGCCTTTTAGTGGCTGGGTATGCCACCTCTGAGCCTTTGTCCACTCTGCTCCCTCTGTTTGCGGTCTTCATTCCTAATCACTGTTCAGAGCTCAGGTCAAGCAAAGCTTCCGTTGCCCCCTCAGGACCAAGTCTTTCACTTTTCATAACACAGCACCCCCATTTCTTCTGAATCCTCTATTAATACTAGTGGGGTAACTACTGCTTCTGCCCCAGCCACATCACAAAGCCCGCCTAGCAATGCTTACTGCCACCGAGTCGATTCGGACTTACAGCAACCCTTTGGGGCAGGATAGAACTACCCCCGTGGGTTTCCGAGGCTGGAACACTTTACCGGAGGTAGAACGGTGCGGTTGGTGGTTTTGAGCTGCTGACCTTGTAGTTAGCAGCAAGACCCGTAACCACTGAGCCACCAGGGCTCCCACCTAGCACTGGGTTAAGTGAATAAACCAGAGACCACCGACTTAGCCTTCAAAACCCCACATGCAAGTGTCACAGGCTACGAAGGCTCTTCCCCAAGTCCGCCACTCCCCAGGGTTGGTTCTCACCCCTCGGCGCTCCCACGACCCGGTGAGGTGGTTATTCTGTTTACTCAAGGTCTCCCTTGGGAGACTGGGCCCTCCGCCAGAGCTGGGCCTGTGTCATCACACTTGGGTCCCGGGCGCCGTGCTCAGTGAAAGTTTGCCGAGCGGACCCGCGAGGCGAGACCCGCGGTTTCCAGGGGCTGCGCTGGGTGCGAAGACAGCTGCGGCGCTCGGCCCCTGGCCGGGGACACACCTCCCCTCCTCCGCGACTGCTGGAGCCGACCCGGGCCAAGGTCGGCCAAACGCGCCCAGCCGACCCACAGGCCAAGGGCGGAGAGAGCGGAACCGCCGGACCCGGTCAGAGGGGTGAGGAGTCGGCAGAGGAGATGCAGTCGGAAGGAGAGCCTGGCCACCGTTTGCCGGGTGACTCAGGACCAACTCCCCTCCGGAGACTCAGTTTCCCTCCTGCAAACGAAGCGGCCAACACTGGCTCCCGCGAGAACACGCGCGGGAACAGGAGCCGCGAGCTCTGCACAGCACCCGGCACAGAGACCGACTACACGGCCCGACCGGCAGGCTGCACTCGGGCTTCTGGAGTGACACACGCACCTTTTCTCACCTCGATCCTGCTCCAGGACTTACTCACCTCACGGCCCCTCCTACTACGGCGGGCTGCCCAGCCTCACAGCCTTCACTTCCGCTGGTCTGCCCACCCCCGGAAGCGATCCTTTGCGGCTGCGCACCGCGTCGTGCCGCCGGCACGCCTCCAGAGGGCGGGTCCATCGCGGGGGCGGGGCGAGAAGTGACAACTCGTGGGTCCAGGAAGAGACACGCCCCCGCGAGGCCACGCCCCTCCTGCCGCTCCGAGCGGGAGCACAGGTTTATTTCTCTTAGAGAACTGGTTGGCTGCCCGCTGGTTCCCGCCTCTTTCCCACTTTCCAAGGACTTTTGAAAACTTAGAAACCCAGCTTTATATCACACTGGCTGCAGTGAGCCGTGAGCTCTCACCTCTATACCATCTCAAAAGTTGTACTGAGTCTACCACAGATATAGTTTACACGTCACCCTGGCCCGCTGGTGAAAGATAAGATAGTCCCCAAAGGCACCCCAGCTTCAATTTGCACTCCCTCGCCTATCTGCTACAGGGGACGAACTCCATCCACAGAAGGACAGGGTGTGCTTCGTGCTCAAAGGGAAAAGGACTGAGCTACCCAGACTGCAATTTTATCGTAGGATGAGTTGGGGACAGGAGAGGGAAGTGGTAGAGAGGCCAAAGGAGAGCAGCTGGGGTGCCTCAAGGCACAGTATGGGGGAGCCAGCTTTAACAGGAACGGGGAGCAGGCCAGGGAGTCACAGGCTGGCAGATGGCGGCTCGATGTGGAGTGGGCTCTCCTAAAGCTGAGTTTGCTGGCATCAGGAGGGCGGCCACTGGGTGGCTCAATGGATGGGCTGTCAGCCACTCTGATGAGATGGTGGAAGTACTGAGAGGCTCGGCATCCTCCCCCAAGGGACAGGGGCCTGGATTTCCAGCAAGTCCCTCTGAACATAGAGAGCCCGGCCGAGCTGGCTGGCTTGTGCCTCACTAGTCTGAGGGCAGGGGACTGAGGCATTCTGTCTCAGGTTTTCCTTCCCAGCTCAGTGAAAACAGCCGGAAGGGAAGTGGGGCACAGTGCAAACCCCCACCCCGCCACCCCAAACAAGACACAGGCTTTGGAGTCTCGTGTGGGTTTGCATTTAATACTCGGGAGTGATGATCTCGAGTAAGCCACTGCATGTCCCTGAGCCTCAGATTCTCCATCTACAAAATGGGAACAACCCAACCCTCCTCCCAGGCTTGCTGGGAGGCTGATGCGTGTCCCCGAGGCACAGTGCCTCAGCAAGAGGCAGGTCCATTGGCTATTCCCATCACAATACAACACGAAATTGAGACCAGGGGATGGGGGTGGGTGCTCTGAGGCGCACAGGAAAGGAAAGGGCCTGTTCTTCATCCACAGTGGGGTTTGAGAGGGAGCCTCTGGGGTGGCCTGGTCCCAGAGACCCTTATAAAAGCCCAAAGCCCCTCCAGAAGACAAGGACAGGGCTGGGGGTGCACTGACCCTCTGAGGGATGTTTTTAAAAAGCCAGAAGAGAAGAGGGATTTCTTCCCAGAGGTGCAACCGCAAGGACATCGAGCTGGGTCCATCGAGGGTTTCAGACCCAGCCTTCATGGGGCGGCCGCCCAGGGGAGCCATCACCCCTTCTTGCTCCAGCACTGAGGCTATCAAAAATACATACAAACTGTGAGGAAGTTCATGGACAAAGGCTTCCCCGCGGGTACACAAAAGACTGGCTGTGGTCAGTGGTTCAGGACATGGGCTGAGGTCTGAGCCCGAGAGCGGCCAGGGAGAGTCACCAGCCACCCAGTGGGGCTGGGGGGTGCTGCCTGGATGGCTGGGGAGGTGGAGCTCTTTGGCTGCATTGGTCTTGTACAGAGTTGAAGGGTAGGAGGCCTTTTAAGGGACACTGGCTCCAGAATCCGGCTGTGACTCTGTGCTGGGGTAGGGGTGGGGGTTGGGGGGTGCCTTGGCCCTGGTGTGCCTGGCTAAAGGAAGCCTGCTGCTTTGTTGTAAATGCCCTGGCAGCTGGCTTCCTGTTCCGGAGCAAGCCCTCAGCTGGTGGGACCAGCTGGCATACAGTGTGATTTCCAGTTCTGAAGGAGGGAGTGACCCTGGTTTTGCCCAGAGGCTCTGTGTGTGCGCGCGGACATTGGGCGCCGGAGGCCGGCCAGGGGTGTGGCTAGGTAAGATGGCTGTAGACGAACAGGAAGCAGTTCCTTGGTAGCCTGGTGTCCCCGCATCAGAGCTTCTTGATGATTCTTTGCGGAGGGGAGTGGGGTAAGGAGAGAGGGGCTGCCCAGCCTCCTTAGGGCCTGCTCTTCCCACGTGGACAGGGAAGGGGTGGCAGACCCAGGCACTTCCTGTCTGTCCACCATCGCGGAGCATACCGGGACAATCACCCTTGGTTGAGGCTGCCCAGGTCGGGGCTCGGAGTGTGGGCCACCTGCAGAAGACCACTGTCCCTCTGGGGCACCATGGGCTGAGGGCTTTCTTTCCAGAGCCCCCTGGCCCGGTGGGTGCTTAGGTCTGGAGGAGGGGCAGGCCTTGCCGGAGCCCCTCCTTCAGGAACTGCATGTAGGTGGCCGTGGAGGGGTCCTCAAAGGTGGACGAGAAGCTGAAGACGTTGCTCTCGACGTCCTCGGGCTTCATGGAAGTGATGTCCAGGAAGTAGTTGGCGTTGATGTGGTGAACCTGAGAGGACAGAGGCTGAGGAGGGGGGGAGGGGGGGGTCCACCCATCCCCTTCCCACCCTCTAGGGGAAATAGGCAATCCTAGGTCTTGGCTCTCCATGCTGCTGCAGCCACAAGCCCTCCTGGAACCTGGCCCTGGGTCAGGTGGGGCCTGCCTTCGGGTTGTTTCCTCAGGGCCCTCTGAAGGGCTCTCTCCCACACCTGCCCCGTGAATGGACACCTGACGTCTCTGAGTCTCCCTGATTCCGTGGCTCCTGGTTTGGCTGTGCTGTTAGGTGCTGTCTGGTCTGTTCTGACTCAGGGGCTCCTGCGACACAGCAGAGCTGCCTACAGGATTTTCTTGGCTGTCATCTGTACGGGAGCAGGTTGCTAGCTTCCTCCCGTGGCGCTGCTGGGTGGGTTCGAACTGCCGACCTTTCAGTTAGCCCCAAACTGTTTCACCACCGTCTCCTCACTCCTCACTACCTTCCCTCTCCCAGACGAGACGAGAAAGCACAGCCGAGCACCTCCCCTAGGTTCTCTAACACCGACACTCTGTACGCACGCCCTTCCGTCAACATGCCCACCACACGGGACAGGCCTGCCTTCTGCTCATTCCCTCCTGCTCCAGCCTGGCTCCGTTTGGTGCACAGGGCCTGGCACAGAGCGGGTGCCCAGGAAATGCACACAGTGGCAAAGGAGTGAGCTGGCAAATGACCCAGCCAGCTGATGACAAGGAAGGGGCCCCCCCATCAACGGGGCCTCAGTCCCCATCAACTGGGGCTGTTGGCCCATCTCCGCAGCCCCAGGGCCCTGGCCTGGCCCCCACTGAGGTGGCCCATCAGGCACCTGTACCGCTGGCTGGTGCTCCTCCCCCAGGCTGTCTTTCCTCTGCTTGAGACAGTAGAACCCTGCTGTCCACCAAGCCCCCCCTGAGCGCAGCCCCTCCCCGGGCCAGCTGCCCTCTTGCCCCTGAAATGCTCCTTGCTCCGAGGCTCTGGGGAACCTGGCCGCCACCCCTGTAACCCTCAGTCCCCACAGACCATCCACTGTAAGCTCGGGGCTTATGGTTGCCTTGTTGGTGGAATGGGCATTCTGGGGAGGGTCCAATGTGAGGGTGCCCCGTGAAGATGCAGGGCAGGGTATTGGACCTCAGCTCGGGCTAGACTACACCCCACTACCGGGCTGGTGCCTAGAACCCTCTGCCTGCTTCCTCTCTGCTTCTGCCAGTCAGCATGGGATCCTGCTGGCCCATTGCTACGGGGTCTCCCAAGGGCTATTGGAGTTCTTCTTGTGGGAGCATCCAGGGCTCTGCAGCAGGCAGGGCGGTCCCCATCGTCCAGGTGGGGACAGGGAGGCTCAGACTGGCTGAGGGATTGGCTCGGGGTCTTGGAGCCAGGGAGCGGCAGGGCCCGTGAGCTCTGCAGCACAGGGGGGCCTACCACAGTGCCATTGGGCAGGCAGACCATCATCTCCACGGGGAAGCTATACTTCTCCAGGTGCAGGCCAGCCAACTTCGCGTGCTGTGCGTTCTCCGGGCTGGTCTGTGGGGGGACAGGTGGGCACGTTCCTCAGAGCTCAGCCCCGTGGTTGTCCTGCAGGCTCTCGTGGGGACCTCGGGGGCCCACCAGCTCGCTCACCTGTAGGTCCTCCAGGTCCTTTACCAAGGCCCACGTGCTGATGAAGCTCTCGTTGAGGAGGGCGAGGATGGGCGGGCTCTCCAGGACTGTCTCCCGGAGAGTCCGCCCGGAACCTGTGCAGGGAAAGGCCATGGCCGGCAAGTGAGGGCCCACACACAGCACGCCGGGGTTTCTGGGCAGCAGCAATCTCGTGGGCTGCCCATTGACCTTGCAGCCCGCCACTTCGTCGGTGTGGAGTAAGCAGTTGTTGAGATGAGCAGTAATGTGGACGCCCAGGGCTGAGCTCTGGCACGAGGGTCTACCTGGCCTGGGGCTTATAGATCGTGATAGCTCCTTAAATCCGTGGAGCTCTGTGCCTCAGGGTCCTCTATCTGGAACACTCTTCTTCCCGTCACTTACCACACTCCTGCTCAACTTACACGTCCTCCCTGGCCCCCTAGTTAGACACTCAGGGTTCCGGACCTCGGCTTGTCAGCACTCACGGCACTCGGGTGACTGGTGCAGTGGCTGGCTTCTGCACTGCACTGCATGCCCCCACGCCCTGGCTCCAGCCCTCCAGCCAGGCTGGGCGTCCAGCAAGTCCCAGAAATGTGTTTGATAAGGGACAGAGTGCGGGTCATCCAGTACCCCCACTGGCTGCCCAGAGAACCTGCCCTCTGGGAACATTCTGAACAAGTGAACACAAACCCAGCACTCTCTCTGCAGACACCACTTCCCAGCCATCCTGGGGGTGGGGGTGGGGGGTGGGGGTGGGGCATGTGATCTGCTTTTCACTGCAGGAGCTGGCCAAGCTGGGATTTGAACCAGGCTGTCAGGGCTCTTTAGGGAGTAGCTCCGGGCTCACTGTGTGCCCTGCCCTGTGGGTGTGGCCCCAAATCCCTTTGGACTTTGAGCCCACTGCACTTCCAGCGTACAATGCCTCTCCTGGTGCCCCTGGGAACTGGTGGGTCTCCTCACCTCAGCAGGACTGGTCGTCCAGGGCCCCCCACAGCAGGATGGAGTGCACCAGCTTGTTTTCAGCCTGGGCTCGGTCAAAGGCCTCGGTGAACGGCAGGTAGCTGACCTGGGGCCATGCCGAGACAGACAGACAGACACTGCTGAGTCCAGATCCCACTCAGGGGTTCTGAGTGTAGAGGGTGTGTGTGTGTATGTGTGTGACAGTGAGGGTGGGCATGTGAGAGAGTGCATTTGGGAGTGAGGCATAGGTGGGTGGGGGCTGGGGGCTCCCCCGACACCAGCCTGGGCCATACAGGGAGAAGGGAGAGATGCCCTTAGCAGCAAACTGCGCACATGCCAGCATCTCTTGCCCACCTGATACCCCCCAATCCCAGCCTTGGCACCATGGACCCTGCCCCCAGCACCTGCCCCCGCCCAGCCGCACCTTCTTGAAGGGGTACATGGCCACCTCCAGGTGCTGGGCGGCCTCCTCCAAGCTCAGCTTCTGCTGCCACTCGATCTCCTCAAACACGAAGGGCAGGGGCTCCCCCGAGGGCAGGTGGCTGTTGATCCTGTTGCCCTTCTCATCCAGGATCACCGAGGGCACTGAGGGGCCCATGGCCTCCAGCTCCATCTGGTGGGGGGGGAGGTGTCAGAGCAGGGGGCCCAGAGGCATTCTCACCCTGGAGCGAAGGGGAGGCGGAGGTCCAGGGCAGGGCAGGGCCTTGGCGGAGGCTGTACCATGAGTCAGGAGGGATGCTTCTCTTGCCTGATGCTCCCCGAGGCCCCAGTTAGCCCGGGCACTGTGGGCAGGCACAGGTGGTAGCTCTGAGCTCCTAGCCAGCTGAGGTCCCTGGCAGCTGGACCAGCCAGGAGGCCATGAGCTGGGCCCCGAGTGCTTACCTGGGGAATGTAGCCGATGTCCACCTCCATGTTGCTGTTCTCACTGGACCCGTACAGCCACTCCATGTCCACGTTCAGAGATCTTGACATGGCGTGGGGAGGGGGAGGGGGAAGGGGTGCAAGGCAGGACGTCATCAGAGCTCTCCAACCATGTGCCAGCCTTCATCTTGTGAGTGTGCATGGCCACCTTACGTCTGGGTACAGCTCTTGCCCTCTGTCCACCGATCAGAACGACAACGAGCACAGGCTCTCCAGGTGGGAATCCCGGGGCCCCGACCTAAGGGCACCTCCCCCGCCACTTGTCCTTTCACATCCCGTCTGTCTCCTTCCCACGACCCCTCAAGGCAGAGCGACCGAGAATGCCAGGGTACAGGGCACACGGGGCACTGGCCGGAAAACTCAGGGCAGCAGGAAGCCCGGTCTGACCACATGCAATCTGAGGATCTGCCACACGGGGGAGCCCTAGGACTGATCAATTCCACCTCTGGCGGTAGGGGTGGAGGGTGAGGGCATCCCCTCTCCATCACATCCAGACCATTCCAACAGTAGTGGGCTGGAGATAGCTGTGCTTGGCGGGCGGCCTTCACCCCAGCCCTGGCTGGGCCTCATGGAGACTGGGCCCTTCCTTTCCTTCCGCAGGGCGGAGAGAAGCCATGTCTGCTCTTGGGCAGCTTTCCTTGCTTGGCCGTCTGGTGGGCAAGACTGGCCGGGAGTGGGCTTCCCTCAGGCAGATAAGGAGACAGGCCTGGACAGGGCTGGCTCTGGCCCATAGCCACATGGTCCACACACGGTTGGCAAGGCTGAGCGTGACGGTGGGCCGTTTGTTGCTGGGAAGGGTATAGAAAGCCTGAGCTGGGTCCTCTGGGCGCCCTGCTCCCCTGACAGCTAGCTGGCCCTGAGCAGGCCATGAAGGCCATGGGTGGCTGGCATCACATCACCCCAGAAGCCCCCTGAGGCTCTGGGTAGCACTGGCAGGCTGAAGGGGGTCTATCCCCAGGCCTTGGCTTGTGCTAGCCCCCCTCACCCCACAGGGGTCTGGGTCAATGCCACTTTCTCTCTTTCCGGGCCTGACTAGCGAGGTTCCCACCTAGGGGTTGATATGAGGTGGCTGTGGATGTGGATTTTGGGAGTGAAGGCAAGGAGGGTCTGTTTGCACCTGTGCTGGTACCACACAGCACCTGGGAAAGGTGTGCTGGGAGGACCACACGTGGCTGGGGTGATCACATCAGTTGGGGGGTGGGGGAGGCAATAGCTGCAGGTACCTCCAAGAGGGGTGGCTCTGGGAAGTAGACTGTGGGGGCCCCGGGGGACTCCCGGCTTCCAGGTGCCTGGGGCTGGGGGTGGGGCTGGACCAAAGCTCTCACCTGTGGTTGGGCACGAAGAGCCGGAAGTCTCGGACGTGGGTAGCATCCTTGGAGAGGACGATGTGGCCGGTGAACTGGCCGGGGGAGAACCAGAAGGGGAAGTCAGGCGGCTCGCTGAGCTGGAACTCTGCGTGGATCCTGCGGGGGGAGGCACCGGCTGTGGGCAGAGCCCCTGCTGGGCTAGAGCCCCCCCCACCCCCCACCCCTTTCTTCACAGCCCCTCTCCCACCAAGGCTGGGGATCTGGGGCAGGAAGCTAGAGGAGCCTGGAGGGGAGCAGGAGGGGGCCAGG